AGGGTTGACAGGAGGTAGACCGGATCAGAGGGGAAGCGCAAGGGAAGGATGGTGGGCCACAAGAAGGAGAAGAGGAATCAAGGAGTGGAACATGTTCAATGCAAAAGGGATGCTACAAAACATAGACTCCGACTCTCTTTCCTCAGCTGCCGCTAAGGTGCTTGGTTCTTCCGAGGAAACTAAAGCCACGTTGGGGTGAGCCCCTCACTTCATCCGGCCACCACCATGTGCAGCAGCCACCAGCCCAGCACTCCCGCACCGTGGCCTCCGTCTCAGACCTTGCCTGCATCTACTCGGCCCTCATCCTGCAGGACTATGAGGTGACCTCAAGGGAGGACAAGATGATATCCCTCATTAAGGCAGCCGGCATCAACGTGAAGCCCTTCTGGCCAGGCCTGTTCCCCAAGACCCTGACCAAGGTCAACATCTGGAGCCGCATCTGTAATGTAGGGGCTGGTGGCCCTGCCCCAGCTGCTGGTGCCGTACCAGCCGGAGGACCTGCAGCACCCTCCACTGCTGCTACTGCAGCAGAGGAGAAGAAAGTGGAAGCCAAGGAAGAAGAGTTTGAAGAATCTGATGGTGACATGGGCTTGGGTCTTTTTGACTAAACCCTGTTTTGTAACATGTTCAATAAAACAAACTGAACTCTGAAAAAAACCAAACCAAATCATAGACTCCCACCTAATCTACAATTAAAAATTGGTTCAAATAAAGACTATGTCCCACACAGAATATCTGGAGGGGCGTCTATAAGAAGTCAAGGTAACTCATATGCAATATAAATTAATTAAAAGGTACCCAGAATGTCTGCAAAGGCAAATACCTAATTTTTAAAAATTGCTGTCAACCAGTCCACTCTGACTCCGAGTGACCCTACGGACAGGGTAGAACTACCCATGTGAGTTTCTGAGACTGCAACCCTTTATGGGACCAGAGAGTCTCTTCTATCTCCCAAGGAGCCACTAGGAGTTTCACACTCATGCTTTGATTATATTATCAATATTGTTGTATGATAGTAAAAATTCTAGGGATCGGTGCATGTGAAAATCATTTTAGTATTTAGCAATTCCAAAGTTATCATTTCATTAAATTCTCTAGAAATTCTTTGGTCCACAAGCCCCTGGTTGTAGTCCGATAATTGGGTCTCCCTGTGTGGTTACAAATCCATTGAGAGATACTGTCATTTGCCATGATGGACGCAGCTCGCTGTAAAAGAATTAACTGTGTTTTTTTAATATGGCTGGATTTCTAGAGTAAAAGGAGCTGTGTGTGTGTGCTCATGTGTGTGTGTGTGTATGTGTGTGTGTGTGTTACTACTGACTTCAGGAGACTAGAGCTACACACCCATTACAGTGAATGACACCATGAGCCAGCAAGTTGGCCTTCCCACAGCACGGCGACCTGTGTTTCTCATTCGTTTTCCTGGGGTCTCTGGTCATGGTCATGTCATCAGAAGCCTTCACATTTTGTAGGTGAAGGCAGTTGATATTTGGTGGAATAATGGATGTGACATTAATAGCATGAAGTGTCATAACTCTTGACAAGCTAATGCAAATAAGTCCCTCACGAAGGAAGCCAGGACTGGGGGGAAAACTCTTCGAATAGATCTTTAAAGTGTATTCAGTATTCAAAAGCCTCTCCAGCCATGATGGAGGCTGGGAATCCATACAATTTTGGTGCCTTCAGCTCCAGTCCTGCAGGTATAGAGCAGTCATCTCCTAGAGGTACCACGAGGCTTAGGCCCGGTCTACAGCAGTGAAGATGTTTAGAACCATTTCGTTAGGCCTTTCCATTTAGACTTTGCTTCCCTTCCACTTAATCTTTCCTTTCTCTCTTCAGTGCTAACATGATGGATGGACCTCAGGAAGAGGCAAAACTCTGTCCACCTCTTCTTCTCCCTCAGAAACC